GCAGCATTCTGTGAACCTCGAAGTGCAGATTTCGTGGCAGGCGCAGCACTTGGTAAACCTCGAAGTGCAGATTCCGTGGCATTCACAGCACTTGGTGAAGTGCAGATTTCGTGGCAGGCGCAGTGCTTGGCAGATTTCGTGGCAGGCTCACTCTCACTCTCACTCTCCCACTTTCACTCACACTCACACTCCATTCATTCTCATCCACACTCACACTCACTCTCACTCACACTCGCACTCCCTCACACACTCACTCACTCACTCACTCCCTCCCTCCCTCACTCACTCACTCACTCACTCTCCCTCTCCCTCTCCCACCCCCACTCCCACTCCCACTCACACTCACACTCACACTCCTCACGCTCACACCCACTCACTCTCCCTCTCGCAGACTCTCACTCGCTCTCACTCACACTCGCACTCACATTCACACGCACACTCACTCACCTACACTCACACTCACATTCACACTCACTCTCATTCACTCACTCTCACTCTCACCCTCACCCTCACTCTCACTCTCACTGTGTGGGTGAGAGGGAGTGTGAGTGAGAGTGGGAGAGTGTGTGTGAGCGCGAGTGTGAGTGAGAGTGAGTGTGGGTGAGAGTGAGAGTGAGAGTGAGAGTGAGTGTAAGTGAGAGCGAAGGTGGGTGTTAGTGTGGGTGAGAGTGAGAGTGTGTGTGAGTGAGAGTGAGAGAATGAGTGAGTGTGAGTGAGACTGAGAGTGAGAGTGAGAATCACCACCATCACCTCTCTGGACCGCAATGCGTCTCGATCTCTAGACTTTCTGCTTACAGACCTCACACACACTGTTTGGGGTCTCTTGCCGGGATAATTTTTTAAATGTTGAAAACAGGCTCTCTCCAATGAAAAAAACTTATGAGGTTAAGGGCGATAATGTTTTGGCTCCACACATTGTGTTCCAGACGCGCGATTCACCACGGAGAGTCCGAGTTTGGTGTTTTTCATTTTTTGGGATTTGGGTTTTTCAAACCGAGTTGTTTTTTCCGCACAGAATGATAAACATGCCAAGTGGGGTGGCCTGCAACGAAGTGATCAGAAGATTCGATGCTTCCATGAGATTCAGTGTTCAGCTGATGTCAGCCTTTCGAAGCTTTCTCAAACCACTCAACTTGGTGCTTTCACCGGAGAAACCGGAAGGAACAAGGAAACAACTGCTGAAGAAAAAACGACCGGTGCATGGTTTGCCGGCTTTGCGCGTGACAGGTTGGAAGGATAGAGACTGAGTCTGGGGTGTGGCCAAGCCAGCTGGCAGTGGAGAATGATCAACCACCATCTTTGGAATCGTATCGATCCCACCAATCAAAGGATATTAAATCATATTAAGTCTATTGGATTCGTGGCTTGGGGCCCCAAGTAATTCCGGTCCAAAAAACATGCATGTTGTCCCATCACTCATGAGCAAACCCCCAAACATTCAGTTTAAACAACTAAAAAACACGAGCAATACATCAACATGTTGCTAGTGTTTTTTTTCAGCAGTTGCGCGCCAGCTTCGGGTTTATCAGCTGAATGTCACATCAACACTAGCATCAGTTTGGAGCACCTTTGGGCGCCAGGTGATCCACCCCGCCTGGACGGTTGCGGCGGTGGGGGAGCCCTGCGAGCTCTGCGAGCTCGTTCCGTGCGGTTGGGAGACTTCTTCCAGGTTTGGGTCACACCCAGCAACTTGCTCGAGTTGATATGGACTAATGTTGTTTAGTGGAAGGATGTGACTGCAGTACTTGAACGCTGAATGTTTGCTTGCTTTCTTTGGCATGCAAGCGGGCTGGCTCTCGGCACAGCTTGAAACGATGCGGTTCTTGCTGTTCTCATCCTGGAAGAGCCGGCAGTACTGCAGGGATCTCTTATAGTGGGGAACCATTCAAAAAACCCTTTGGAGCTTCGATCCATTTCTATTCATTTGGTATATGATTTGGTTCATCAGGAATTCCGGGGGCATCGTTGGCTCAATCAGAGGACCCGCGGCCCCAACAGGAGTATAACTTATTCATAGCTGTTTGATCTGTTTGTCTCGAGTCCTCTGGGATGGCCCACCAGACAGTTGAACGTAGTCTCACCATGTCTCGCCCTCAATCGGATGATCGGGTGTGTTCAAGTTCCGATTGAAGTGCAGTCATGAAGTGCATCTTTCACTCACCCAGGCCACGACCCAGGCGTCTCCCCTGCAGGGGAAGGTTGGATGACAAATGATAACAAGACCAGGGCCTCCGGTTTGGTTTGTCAGTGTCTATTCAAGACCCCGAAAAGAGGCGACTTAACCACCATGACCGTGGGTCCGGGTATGTGTCATCCAGCCTGAAGTAACCTTCGATGATGACTAGGAGCCTCCCAAGTACCACAACCTCCGGAAAGCCCCCCTTCATGCTGCACTACACGTGTGTGAGAATCAAAGATTTGGCTACAAGCCGATTCGAGTCCCCATGGATGAAAAAAGGAAGCAATTGCAGAGGAGTGGATCATTCCAGGATTGGCTGTATTTTGGAGTCCATCCAGCTAAAGGGTGTTGATACATTCCCACACACACACACACAACGCATGTGTTCGATCCGTTCAATGGGGAAAGAATGTATCGATACGCTCTGCTCCATTCCACGCCCGCACCCGCCTGCACCCTGAGGCGGCGCCTCCCGTGACCATGCGGGTCAGCAGTGCCAGGGAGCCTAAGAAGTTCACCGCAGATGAGCAGTTCCAAAAGGTTTGACATGAATTGAAAGGATCTTAGATTTAGTTGTTAGTATAGTTGTTATATGTTGTTATGATATGTTATTTGTTATGTTGTTATGTTATGTTGTTAGTATAGTTGTTATGTGGTTTTCCTTCAGGATGCTCACTTAAGCGATCTTAAGCACCTAAGAGTTTTTAGTTTTATTGTGATACCACTGGTTTCCTCTGTGCAAGAACCTTGAGATGTGATCACATATATATATATATATATGTGATCTATATTGATCTATTGACCATAGATTTGGACACATTGATCTTTAAAGCATGTTTCACAGCAGGCGACCGAGGTTTGTTTTGGTGCTTGCAGTATGTGGAGGATTTCCTTTCTTTGTGCTGCTCTTCTCTTGGGTGCTCAGCTCGCTCCAGGCTCCACAAGCTGTGCGTGTGCGGGCACCCGGTTTGGCCGATGAGTTTCTTCCACGACCAGTGTTCACGGCGGGCCGCACTCTGAAAGCCAGGCATTTGGGGATTCATGTGGCTTTCGATGCACCGACTTCTTGAGCTGCTCAACGGCCCAGTTCTCGTTCTCGGCTGAACAGGTCATCTGCCAGGATCGGTAGACCGACGTTGAGCGCTTGGGACCGAGCACTTGGAGCGCATCCCGGCGCCCTCCGATCCCATCCGAGTCCGTCCGGGGGTGCTCACCGGAGTGCTCACCCGCAGGCGGCGTCTTGCCCCAGCTGTGGCAACGTCTATCTGCCACTCGGTGCGATGACGACGCCGACGTCTTGCGTTTGGGAAGGCTGTAGAGAGGCCTGTAGGCAGGCTGGAACAAGATCCTGTTTGAGCACATTTGGGCTTCCCATTCCAAGACACATCCACACATTAGATGCCATCATTATGCTGATGCTGTAGCTGAGGGTTTATTAGTGGTTAGACTACAGTGACCCCAAATCGATCGAAATCCTGTACTCGCGGATTCTTGTGACCTTTTTTTTGCTGGCATACCTC